GCTAATCCATGTTTTGTGATGTTCATCTCAGGAGTTGCTGTAGGGGAAACAGGAAGATAAGGGTTGTTAGTGTTACTGTTGCTCCGACACAGTTCTCTAATTGAATGTCGGAACCGACCAGACAACACGGTACAATTTTGTTTTCTGTCTAAGAAAAGTCTACTCTCACAGTTCCTATCTGCTAAATTGATTCTCGGTTAATATTTATTAAATATATGGATACCTTCTTCCTGCATTAACACGAATAAAATATGTGTGTTCGGCTGTGACATCAATTGGGACAAATAGTCTGAAGATATAACCTAGTACACAGGTCTCGTCTCCAACACGTAAACAAGATAAACTATCACAGATGTCAGTCGTGGTCAGCCTTACACGCAATTCTTGGCAAAGTTTTTCCATGAACAATTTAAAGTGGCCTAATTGTACTCAGCATAGTGCAGGGCGTTTTCAACAATTGTAAACTTGTTCGTTAGAAAACAAAAGGTTACGACAAAATGATTATTGGTGATCGACGAGACACATTCGCCATTCCACAAGCCGCCGTGCACAACACTGCGCGACTCAACTAAACGGCAGAATCAATCATCTTTCCTGCACATTAGTGCACAACAACTTGTCCACATTTATATACAAGTAACCATAACAATTTACAGATTCATTCTACGTAAAGTAACAATCACAGAAACAATTCGGAACAAAACTGGCCTGGCATTTGTCTCCAACCTCACTCCACCGGCCTTCCTCTCCAACTGAAGCTGTGGTCGTGTGATGTGGGATATTAACCTGTATTCATCCGCCACGGAACTGATAAGCTGTATATAAACGGCTCTAAATCATGAAAACAAGGATATGTGTAGTTTTGTTTGGACAAATATAGCATTCTACACAGATACCGTCAAAAACAAACACTAATTACTAGATATTTCCTCCTTGTCACGTACTACTTTCTGGCGGCACTTGTGTACGTTCTGTCTGGGGCGGCTATTCGGTGGCGAGGCCGTGCGAGGCTCACTTGGGGTCTAGTAGGATTCTAGTAGGAACGTGAAGCATCTCATGGCTAATAATCAAGTAGGTAACTTGTAGCTACCACGAGGGTGCTGATTTGAATTTGCCTGGGATACGCTGGTGTACAGCAGATCGCTCTTCTAGTAGCAGGCATATTGCAGTTCGTATACAATATTACACATGACATTATTAGCCATGTCTCGAAGCCAAGCCGAGGTCTAGAGAGAGAGAGAGAGATTAGCCATGTGATATTTGGGGTTTACGGAAAGGGCTGGGCGCCTGCCCGGCTTTGGGGTTTACGGAAAAGGTGATCATGGCTAGGGCTAACTTGCAGGCTGCCCTTTCTGGGCTACAAAGGTTGTGAAAGGATGTTAATGGGGGTTTGGTCTCTAGCAAATTTCTTCTTCTTCTTCTTTCCCGTACGTGCACAACCTCAATAAGTTGAGGGCTCCGGCACGGTGAGGGGTAGGGGTTTTTGGTTTGGATTTGGGGTGTCGCTCTTATTTTGTATTGTGTATATGTGTATTGTAGTCTGTTGGCTACAGACTACAAGCTCCTCAGTGGGCAGGGGCGCCACTCCCTGTCCGCCAGCTGGGTGGCGGTGAGTACCCGTGATTCTTGTTTGGGGTTACAAGGTGTGAATGGCATTTTTAAATGCCTGCAGTGACTTGGCTTTAACCACACTATCTGGTAGGCGGTTCCATTCTCTAACAGTTTTAGAGAAGAAGGAATTTAGGTGATAGTCAGCTCGTGAGCTTGGAGGGTGGAGGGCTAAGCTGTTTTCAGTGCGAGAGGGAGCTCGTAGCCCCTTGCTTGCTAGCGGCATGTGCATAGCTACAATGTTATTTGTGATCTTATAAAACATCTGTAAGCGGGCGTTTCGCCTCCTTTCTACGAGCAAAGGCCAGTCGAGTGTGACTAACATGTTAGCCACACTAGACTGCCGTCTGTAGCGGCGGAGGGCAAATCGAGCTGCCCTTCTCTGTCCACAGCCTCCAGGTTCCTTATATTACTTTGGGTATAAGGATCCCATACCGTCTGACAATACTCTAGTATTGGGCGCACTAGGGTTTTGTAAGCCCGGGCTTTGACCTGTGGATTTGCAATGTTAATATTGCGTCTCAGGAAGTTAACGGTATTGTTGGCTTTTGAGGATACGTGATCTATATGAAGGTCCCATCGTAAATCTCCAGATATGAGGACACCAAGATATTTGACAAAGCTGACATGTTTGAGAATATGCCCATGCAGGGAGTGAATCACCCTGGCATGAGACCGTCATGTAAATCATGGTATCGTCCGCAAATAAGCGAGCTGTAGAGTGTAAGTTTTCAGTGATATCATTTATGTAATACAAAAACAGGCAAGGTCCGAGCACCGAACCCTGTGGGACCCCTGAAATGACATCCAATTTGCTAGAAGTCACCCCCTCGATGACCACTGACTGGGTACGACAATGAAGGAAGTCTTCTATCCAGCTCCTGATCTGAGGTTCAATGCCGTACCACTGAAGCTTCCGGATGAGTCGTTTGTGGCCTACTAGTACCTTATCGAAGGCTTTAGAGAAATCAAGCACACAGACATCTGTCTGGAGACCTTCCTGCATGTTGTTTACAATGTCATGAACAAGTTCCAGAAGCTGTGTCTCACATGACCTTCCGGGTCGAAAACCGTTTTGTAGCTGATAGAAGAGATCATGCTGTTCCGCATGCTTCATCAGGCTACTACAAATAACATGTTCCATTAACTTAGAAGCAATACAGGTTAAGCTAATAGGTCTGTAGTTTGCTTTATCGTACCTTTGGCCTTTTTTAAAGATCGGAGTCACGTTTGCGTGCTTCCAGTCATCGGGGATTTTACTTGTTAAGAGTGATTTTTTAAATATTCGTGTCAAGGGATCAGCTAGCTGTTCAGAGAGTTCTTTAAAGATTTTTGGACTAAGGCCATCAGGGCCAGCAGCTTTTGTTGGATTAAGGTTTTGTAGTAATTTCAGAACTCCTTGTTTGTGGATACTAATTTTAGGCATAGGTTTGGTCTTCCTACCACGTCGAGTAGGTATTGCTGGAGTCTCACGTGTGAACACGGAGTGGAACTGTGCATTTAGAAGTTCTGCTTTTTGCTGTGGATCAGTGATAAGTCTACCTTTATCTTTCAGTGGTGCAATTCCAGAATGGTCAGTACGCTGATGTTTAATAAACTTCCAGAACTTCTTTCTACATGTGTCACTGTTTTCGTCACTCTCTGGAGTGATGATTTCTTCTACATACTCCCAGTAGGCTTTCCTCAGCTCACGCTGTACCTCGCGTTTGAGCCTCAGAAATTTTGCCTCCAAAGACGGGCGTCCAGTCTTTTTACTAGCTTTATATGCTTTGTCTCTGTGTCTGATTTTACGTCGTAGGTTTGGGTTTAACCATGGGTGAGAGTCCTTTCTTTTAGTTGTACGATGTGGGATATAAGTATTTATCCCCTCAAGGAGTCCGTTTTTCATAATGTTCCAGAGGTGGTTTATATTAGATGATGGCTCTGCGGCCCGTACTTTATCAGCTAGGTTATTTGCAAACTCTCTGAAGCCTTCCCAATTTGCCTTGGCATAAATAGGGACTTTGCGCGGGATTTGCCGCCGCCTCAGAGGTTTCACCTCCAACTCTGTGTATACTGCAAGATGGTCACTTATCCCGGGGATTACCTGAGTTCTGTTTATCTGTGCCGGGCGGTTTGTAAGTTTACAGGGTGTTTACACCGCGAGTTGGGTCTTCCACTATTTGGGTGAGGCCATTATCTTGCATTGAATCAGCAAATTGTCTGTGTTTTGCAGAATGACTGGTTTTGGGTTTCAATGTCTTATTCCCCCAATCCCAGCCTGGTAAGTTAAAGTCGCCACCAAGTAGGATAATGTTCTTATCGCTAGAGGAGATCCTTCGCAATGAGTGGTCCAGTATGTCTGTGGTGGTGTCATCGCCCTCAGTGGGTCGATAACAAGCACCAACATATAATGTCTTGCAACCTTGCATGGTGATCTTGACCCAGAGTGTCTCAGCTGAGTCGGACTCGAGAGTCTCTTCACGGCTGTTTACTAAGTCACTGTTTACGGCTATAAGTACCCCCCCACCGCGAGTGTTTACTTTACTTCTATCCCGTCTATGAACACTAAACTGGGCACAGAAGTATTCTGATGTCAGTATACCCTGGTGGAACCAGGTTTCGGTCAATATTACTATGTCAGGTTTTGTACAGTCGATAATGTTATAAAAGGGACCCTTTTTATTAACAAGAGACTGGCAATTTAGGTTGAGAATACGCAATGGGCGTCCAAGCTGTAAGCTTGGTCTTGGTTTGATCGGTGATGAGGCATGCAAAGGTGAGGATATATTGTCGGGATTGACAGAATGTAGGCTACCAAAACTTGAATCTGAGGTACTAATACTTGACTCCTGTGATTGACTGACTCTGTGGAGATCAATAAAACTGAGCTGTAATTTGGTCCTGCACAAATTGCACAGGTCCACACTTCACTACTCTCCCCCAATCTGTTGTAGGTAGAGTCATGAATATTCTGGCAATCTGCATGAAACCATGTATTGCAATCTTCACACATGATACCCTTATCATCCCATGTCACTGGTTCGTGGCAGGAGCCACACAAATATGCTGTACTGCTCATGTCGGAAGCCTCAGTGTCGGCACCGTCAGGGCCAGGGTTTAGCTCAATATCACTGGAGGTGAACATGAGCATGATGGAAATACATGCAGTGCTTCGCCTATCCAC